CCCCCCCCCCCCCCCCCGGTGCCTATGGCTGTAGTGGTCTCCTGACATCGGCCACTCGCCCTGCCCCTCGCCTGCGCCACGCTTTCAGCCCCTCCCATGGGTGCCTGTCCGCACACCGTACACCCTACGCCCTGCACCGGACGCCATGCGCCGTGGCCCGCTCCATGGCGCGCGTGAGCAGCCCAGCCACAGCCCCATCCATGGCCACAACCCATTGACTGGACGACACCCCCGGCCGGCGGCTTGCCAGCCCGGCACTCTCCTTGCGAGGGCTCTCCCGCGGAGGCGCACCGCGGCCCCGGTGCACGGCCGGGCCTTTCCCGGGGGCCGAGCTCCTCGTACCGGGGGCGCGCGCCAGGCCCCCCCCCCCCCCCCCCTCGCGCCGCCGCCCCTCAATCTCGGGGGAGGGCCGATGGTGCTCGCGCGCCGGCGGGACGCATGTCCACGCCTGCCCTGGCATAGGGCCCCGTCCGGTGCTCGCCCGACGCACGACCCGGCCCCCTCTCCTCCGGCTTTCAATCCGGTGGCCCCTGGGCTCGGGCTCCGTCGACGGTCTTCGCCCTCGGGCCTCTCGGGCCGGGGACCCACCAAGGCGTCGAGCTCGCGGCGGGGGTCTCCCATCCGGCCGCGGCGGCCCCCGCCTCGCGGCCCGACAGCGGGCAGGCATGCTACTACCCCAGTGCGCGGCCATGTGCCCCAGGCTCGGCGGCCCGGGGCAGGTCCTTGCCCCCTCTTCGAGCGGCCCCCGCCGGGATCCCGCCTGGGCCTCTCCTTCCCGAGGGCCAGGGGCATGCGGCTCGCCGGTCGTGGCCGATGTCCCCTGACCGGCCCCGATGGCCGCCCGCCCCCCGCCCCCGCTCCCGGGTGCACATGCCCCGCGCACAATACACTCCGCCCGCTTCCTTTCGCCACACGCACACCCCGCGCATTCTGGCCATGCGGCCTGCCCCTGTGTCACCGCCCCCCCCCCCTCCCGGAGATGGCCCTCTGCCCCAGCACATGCAGCACACCGCCCCCCGCCCCCTCGGTCCGACACCCAAGGTGCCACATCCGCCCGGGCAGCCAACATGCGTGCATTCCTCCTGCCCCTCAGGGCAGACCGCCCACGGCGACATACTGCCCGGCGCAGCGCTGGCGGAAGGTGGCTGCCGGCGGCCGCCGGCCGGGGTCCTCCTGCCAGGCGGCCTGCACCAGGTCCCGGGCCTCCTGGCCCAGGGACTCGACGCTCGGCCGGGCACCGCCACACACGGCACGCACGATGTCCTGCATGCCCATGCCAGCCCAGGGGACAGCCCGCGCCAGGCACTCGCCCAGCATGACCCCCGCCGCATACATGTCCACCGGGAAGAAGAGCCCCGGGTCCAGAGGGACCGCCCGCTGGAAGACGTCCACCAGCTCCGGCGCCGCATACCGCACCGACATGGCATTCAGCTCGGGCATGCTGTTCACCAGGGCCGACAGCCGGCTGGCGCTCAGGTTCCTGGACGTGCCCAGGTCCCCGAGGGCCGCCCGCCAGGAGGAGCCCGCCTGGCTGACAAACACATTGCCCGGCTTCAGGTCGCAGTGGGCCACCCCGTGCGCGTGCATGGCCTCCAGCCCGGCGGACCACTGCTGGCAGATGTCCCACAGCTGGGCCGCCGACAGCTCCACC